ATTTGTATAAAAGCGCGGGGTGAAACCCGCGGGTATAAGCTAGTAGAACAATAAATTTAACTTCAAGAATTTAAACAAGTGTAAAAATATACAGTTAATTGCCCTACAATCATATCTTTGAAATTACAAAGTCCTTTAAAATAAATCCTAACCTCAGAGAGAAAAAATAAAAACGCCTNAATATACAGTTAATTGCCCTACAATCATATCTTTGAAATTACAAAGTCCTTTAAAATAAATCCTAACCTCAGAGAGAAAAAATAAAAACGCCTCCTAAAATAAAAAAGTAGGTTTCAAACCCATTTATTTATTATTTATTTTATGGTAGGAGAGCTTCTCAAACAATGTTTTTCAATTTAAGTGATTGAAAAGTAATGAATATCTAAATCCCGAGATCTCGGGGTTGTGATAACGACATACCGAAAATCCCGGGATCGGAAAAAGCTGAAAAATTAACATCCCTAACATGCACGTATCAAGTACATATTTATGTACGTATGTAGGCATGTAGGCATGTTCCCATGTGGAGCTGTATGTACACTATTGATAGTTGTATAACGAAGGATAGGAAAGGAAAAAAAAGAACGGGGGAAAAATATGAAATAAACCTGATGCCAGTGTGGCATGCTACACTGAAAGTCATGATGCAAACTAAATACACAGCTTGTGCCACCAAGCTCAAATCACTTTGTATTACTATTATTTCATTATTGCTCAGCTCCGTCCTTTTCCCGACTGCATTCAGTACTGTTCTCAACTATTCACTATCCTTTGTGGCATACGTGCAACAACTTTGAAGCCGCAAGCACAATGTGGCCGCTGTTACCTATGCATTTATGCACTTACATACATATGTATGTATGTACGTGAGTGCTAGGCATTTGTGGTCACTTGCCTGGCGTGTATTTTTTGCAAGCGCTCGTTGTTGCACGTTACAGTAGTTGAAAAGACCATTTGATGCCACAATCGCTTAGCGGTTTAAAGTTTTGAATACTTGTTGAGAGGAATTTTCTGAAAAGCATTTGAGTGAATTGTGGTAAAAATGGTGAGATTTGGAGGTATGCCAACTGTAAATGAAAAACGTTCAAATTGTCTAATAAATAAAGGTAAAAATATATATATTTTTTTTTGCGCTCTTCTTATTTGGAAATAGTTTTGCATTTACCGTGTTCGTATATTAAAAGAAGTATTTTTGACATGAATTTAAATACCATTTAGAACGAAATTGGAACAATGAAACGGAAATTTATTTGGTGGTATTTTACGCTCGAAAACTCAGAAAAAAGTTGCCTAGTAGTAATTAGTTGCATTTTTCAAGTTTGGCACTCCCTTAGCAATCGGTGAATTTTATAACTCACGAAACTCCCGCTCCCAGTCATTGCTGAGCGAAATTGTTACGCAGTGTTTGACGTTGGTTTTGATGGCCGAAGGTAAAAGTTTTCTAACTGCTTGCGGACCAAAAAATCTAATCATAGTCCTTTCTAGATAAATGGTACTGTTGTCGACTGACCTGACATTAAGGGCTGATTTCTCCAACTCAACTTAACTTAGTTTAGCCATTTTTTGGACTTAAGTCAAAGGTTAGCCTACTTTTTATACAGTTTATTCTTGACTAAGTCTAAGAAATTGGCTAAACTAAGTTAATTTGAGTTGGAGAGCTTTCTTACAGATTTGCATTGAAATTAGTAAGAGCACTGAGTAATTCTTTGAATCCAGCTGAGCTGTCACTGTAGACACGCAAACTCCTATCTCCTACTCCTCGTCGTAGTGCCGTTGTCTTCCATATACACCTCAGTCCGACCCTGTGCCAGTTTTGGAGCCATCAGTAAAAGTTCTACAAAAAGTAAGCTCCGTATCAGTATAAGTAAGTAAGTCCGACTATTCTTTAGTCGGTTAGTTCTATCGGCAGCCATAAAGAATGGTGACAGGTAATAAGATCAACGGAAATAAGGTCAATTGACTTTATTTCCCACCCTGGTGCGAAATAAAGTCAATTGACGTTATTACCTTTTTAAAAACGAAATAAAATCCATTGGCATTATTTCTCTTTCAAACATTAAATTTGCTTAGCTTCGCGGCGGCCCGCGT